TATCCAGGTTCAAATAAAGCAATTTGTGGCCCTAACCTAGCCTAGATGCAATAAAAAATTAACAAGGCATAATTTAAACTTATAAATAAAATAAGATAGAGATAAGGGATAGGTAAGATAGGTAAGATAAGTAGAGATAGGTAGGAGATAAGGTAGGGAGGGAAGTGTATATTCTAGAGTTTTTTTTTTTTCTTTCATCCCTTTATTCCACAAGGATTTACTAAGAATCAGCCATTTGCCAGGCACTTGCTAGGGCCTAATCACATGGCCATGGCAGGGCTTGCAGGTCTGAGGGGGGAAAGCAGGGTGATTTGTAGGGTGAAGATTGGGGGATTCAAGTGGGATACTAAGAGAAAAAAGGTGATTGAAGGAAAGATGTCAATAATGATCAAAGAAGGATGAAGAGTCAGTGACTGAGGAATTATATAAGATATAATTGGAAGTAGAACAGGCGCTGTCACATTTAACAATATATAATAAAGATATAAGTTTCAAGCACTAAGTGCACTTTTGGACTCTGACAGGTTCACTATTGTGGATTTGGGAGGCCTTAATTGATCCTATGGGATACTTGTGTTCCTAAAAAATTGTTACTATATAATCTTTGTACTGCCTAGAAGACTTTTTCTCTTTTCTTCCCCCCTTTTCTCCTTTTCATTTTGCTTTCCTAATCTATACTTCAAAGATTATTCTTGTTCTGAGGTTCATATTTTAAAATTATTTTTAAAATATCTATTTTTGCTTAGAACACAGATGCCTACATTTTGTATGAGTACATGGGAGACAACATATCCTAATTGCATTATCCATATTCAGGATTATTATAAGTTGAAAATTCAAACAGATTCTAAATTGCCCTTTGAAATCTCTACTGAAACTTCAAGGAGCTTTGATAGCAGCATTTGACCTGAATCTTAATTGGTTTAGCATGACGTAGTTGGTTGTGCTAAGACAGAAATGTGGGGTGAGTGCTTTTCACAATGGAAGACAAAATGACTAAACTTTGCTTTAGTTTTAGGAAATAAAATTGTGATTTCCTACAAATACCAACGGTTATCGTTGGAGTAAGGAAATGAATGAGTTAAGAGAAATATTTGTCCCGATGTATTCCATGTATTCGTATGATTAGGACCAGTGTGAAACATATTCTGGAGGCACACACTGTGTGTCAAGGGAGTAATCGCAGGTTTCAAGAGAGGGAGCAAGTAGCTGGTCATGAGTGTTTCCAATTTTATTCAAAAATTGAAAAAAACAAATTTATTATAAAATCAGAACAGTAATTGTTCCTAAACGTGGCTGAGCACAAGAACACTTCCTGGTTGACAAAAATGTGTCTATATCCTTTTAAACAAATGGTTTAATGGATTTTAATAGCAAACTTACAGGAAAGGGCAAGAAACCAGACAACATTAAAAAGATGAGTGTGGGGCTGGGGCTATAGCTCAGTAGCAGAGCACTTGTTTAGCACATGCAAGGTCCTGGGTTTGATCCTTAGAACCACATAAAAAATAAAAACAAATAAAACCAAGGCATTCTGTCCATCTACAACTACAAAAAAAAATAAAACATTTTTTAAAAAGATGTGTATAAGACAACTCAGAAAAATATAATGAATGACTGGAGTCTACTGTAGGATAAAAATGCTACACATACCATTTAGTTGCCCTCGGTAAGAATTTACTTGTTTTTAAAATTTTCAAATGTCCAGAAAATTTCAATGTCCAAAAAAATTTATCAGGTGTATTTATAATTGTTATAAAGTTGAACTACTAAAATTTATTCACTGAAAAATTCTGACTTGCATTTGTATTAAAAATTCACATGGAAAAGCTGCCGATAACTGATTATTGTCCCCTGATTTTCCACTTGCAATCATATACTTAGGTACCTTTTGACTCCATGAGAAAGATTATATTCAGAACTATCAATAACAGAAAATGTTTTTTGATTTTTACTTTGTTTTATTTTTATTCTTGTTTTTTAGGATGAAATGTTTCCTATCATAGTGGATTCTTCAGCACATTCTACATATATGCATCATGCTTTCCAGGTGTCCCTTGGCATAACTGCTGCACATTTGACATGGCTAGAACACAGATTGGTGTCTTCAAAAAGGTTAACCAGTTGGTCCCAGTGGTAAATGCCTATAACCCTAGCTTCTTGGGAGACCAAGGCAGAAAGATCCCAAGTTCCAAGTCAGTCTGGGCAACTTATCAAGACCCTATATTAAATTGATTTTTTTAAAAAAAAATCCAGACCCAGTGGTATACACCTGTAATCCCAGCAACTTGGGAGGCTGAGGTAGGAGGATCACAAATTCAAAGCCAGCCTCAGCAACTTAATAAGGCTTTGTCTCAAAATAAAACATAAAAGGGCTAAAGATGTTGCTCAGTGGTTAAGCGCCCCTGAGTTCAATCTCTGGTAATAAATAAGGCTGTGGATATAGCTCAATAGTAGAACACCTACTTAACATGCACAAACAAGGTCCTGTGTTCAATTCCCAAGATCACACACACACACACACACACACACACACAGTCAGCCAGATAGGACTTACTTGCCTACCACAAAGTATCAATAGCGGCACTCTGTAACCCACATCTGTTTGAAATCCTCTCACACTGTGAATCAGAAGTTCAATGGACTTGTGATAACTTCTATGGAGGCTGTGAAAATGAGGTTTCTTCACTCCTCCAGTAGAGGGCGCTCTCTTGGCAAACAGCTTCTGTAGCCAGTTGCTTCCAGAGGGCTTTACCACAGGTCAATTTGTAGGCAATTGCCTTTGTGGGAGTCACAATATAAAGACCTCCTCACTTAACTAACTCTTCCTTTGCTGGAGCTCAGGAGATAGAGAGGTTGCTGGCATTAGAGAGGGAGGGCTGCAAGCCTACATCTGTATCCTAATGGGTATAAGTTAAATGGATGTGTGTGCATTTGCCAAAATTGGTCCAACTCTATATTCTAAATATGTGAATTTCGGTATCTTTAAATTATACCTCAATTTTAAAAGAAACTTATTTCCTGTATACAACCATGCAGTGCTTTCTCTAGCCCTTTTACCTTTACCCTTTCGATAAAGAACACTTTAAGCTTTGAACCCTATTCCCCAATCTCTCTCACATTCTTACTGTTTGAACCCTGGCAGAAGTTACCATGAACATCAATCATATAAAAAAAAAATAGGGTCACTGTGTTAACTAGTCACAAACCTCAGCAAACTAGAACACCAAGTAAATAAATCAGGTGACGAAATAGAAAGAGGCATAAAAGGGAAGGTTGTACACTTACAAAATGCAAATAATAAAGGCTAACAGACTAATATTTATTAAGTGATAAAACTAAATATCTAAAAGAAAGAATCACCTTCCTATAGTTCTAGGGGAGGGATATCTTAAATAACAAGTCAATCTGCAACATTAATCTATGCTTCCTTAGGAAATAAGTGACTAATACAAGATATTTAAACTAAAATCCAACTCCACGTTAATTTTTGTCCTGAGATACCAGATAAACATAAAGTAACAACTTCTTATTTAAATTTTAGCAGCATACAGTGTGGACGCTGTGCCTCATTTTTTTGGTGGCTAGAATTTAATCAGTCTTTTCAGTGGCTGGTGTAATTAGACTATCCCTTATCCTGTCTCCCTGTAATGTTCCTCTTCCTGACTCAAAACCTTCTATTGAGATCAGAATAGACATTTTCCTACTTGTTCTTGATTTTCTTGACCTGTTGACATAGACTCTCTCCTTGACTAAAGTTTAACAAGGCTCGTCTGAGCCCTCTTCTTGTCTATGTCCCTGTGGCCTGTAAAAAGACTTGAACAACCATTAACATATCTAACACATCTCAAGAACAACCACAGCTCTCCTTAAAGTGTCTGCCTGAGAAAACTCAAGACTGTCAAAACGATTTACTGAAGGCAGTGACCCAGCCTGCTTGGGAAGTTAAGAGTCTAACTTCCACAGCACCAGTGAAGTTAAACCCAGATGGGTTTCACATGGACCAAATCCCTTTACCCTCCTTATGTCATTTTTTACTCTATGGAACCCTTACTTGACCCCTTGTCCTTATTCTGTTTTTAAGGCCCAGTCATAGACGGGTGTGATAGCATATGCTTGTAATCCCAGCTACTCAAGAGGCTGAGGCAGGATGGTGAGTTCAAGGCCAATCTGGGCAACACTCAGATGAGCCTTGTTAAACTTTAGTCAAGGAGAGAGTCTATGTCAACAGGTCAAGAAAATCAAGAACAAGTTGGAAAATGTCTATTCTGATCTCAATAGAAAGTTTTGAGACAGGAAGAGGAACATTACAGGGAGACAGGATAAGGGATAGTCTAATTACACCAGCCACTGAAAAGACTGATAAATTCCAGTCACCAAAAATGAGGCACAGCATCCATACTGTATGCTGCTAAAATTTAAATAAAAAACAACAACAACAAAAAGACCCAGTTATCTCTGTACAAATCAAAGTTGAGTTCAGTTCCTGGGAGTTGGGGGCGCTGTTTTCCCTATTCCAGTAATATTTTGCTGGTAAAAATCTGTCCTTATCATTTGAACTAGTATCCAGCTTTGTATATCTTTTTTTTTTTTGTTACCAAGGATTGAACCCAGAGGTGCTCAACCACAACAACCAAGTCACATCCCCAGCCCCCCCACACTTTTTAAAATTTTTACTTTGAGAGAGAGTCTTGCTAAATTGCTTAGGGCCTTACTAAGTTGCTGAGGCTGGCTTTGAACTTGGAATCCTCCTGCCTCAGCCTTCCAAACTGCTGGGATTATTGGCATGCACCACTACCTCACCTGGCCAGCTTTATCTTTGACGGTATTAGCTGTCACCAATGAATCTGAGCAACGCTGAGATTGCAGGGGGATTACCATCAAATAACAGAAATCACACATCCAATAAATATAAACACAGTTACCACAGCATATTGACAAGAGCTAGAGCAGAGATTTTGTAGCAGAATGGCAGAATTTGATCAAGAAATGATTTTGGAGTGCTCATTTCAGCAACATATACACTAAAATTGTGAACAATACAGAGATTAACATGGCTTCTGAACAAGGAAGACATGCAAATTCATGAAGCATTTTATATTTTTATTGTCCCTGATGCTAAGCTCCATATCTTTGACCTTGAACAGAAGAAGGCAAAAGTGGATGAGTTTCCACTCTATGGTGTCAGATGAATATGGGCAGCTAGACTCTGAAGCCATCGGGGCTGCCTGTATTTGTGCAAACAAAAGTACATGGTAAGAAGTGGTGGCAAAGATGGCTTTCATATTTGAATGCAGCTCCACACTTCTGCATCAAAAAGATGTTTTTCTGCCCTGAGGCTGATAGTCTCCAGACAGGTATGCAGGGTGCCTTTGGAAAAGCCCAGAGCACAGTGGCTAGGGTTCATGTTGGCCAAGTCATTGTGTCCAGCTGCACCAAGTTGCAGGACAAGGAACATGTGATTGAGGATGTATGCAGGGCCAAGTTCAAGTTACCAACCACGGAAAGCTCCATATATCAATGAAATAGGAGTTTACCAGTTAACCTGCTGACAGCAGACATCATGAAGATTCAGCCCCTTGAAACCTGACCCTTTGTCTCATTTGAATGGCTTTTCCTCAAGAAAAGGGGTCAGCACATGCTCTCTCTCTTTCTGCAGACCCTTAAGGTCAGAGGAGCCATCACAGCACCCCCAAAGAAAAAGGTATTTCTGTCTCCAGTGTGGTTATTTTGTGCAGCCCAATTCCCCTGGAGTGACCCCTGAGTGTTTTAGCAGCGTGCAACCTGGCATTCAACCATCTGGACTTCATTTCCAAGGGGTTTCCTGGTTCAGATATCCCCCAATCCATGTTGTAACCATCTACTGCAAAGGCTTCCTGGTTGTTTCTGTTTCTAGTTCTCCTCCCCATCCCAACTGGCATTTGTCCTGCTGTCAGAAATCATCTAAGATACAGACTGAGCTTGACATATTCTTCCTGAAAACCCTTCAGCGTCTCCGTGTTACTTAACTGGCAAAGTCCACACCCTCAGAATAGAGTTACAATCTGGACCTATATTTTTCCTCTCCGACCAGCCCTCCCACCCTTCCTGTTGCATCACCTGCATCCCTCACCTGCCTTCTAGATGCAAAAAGGTTGCTATGTTTCAAAAGTGCCAAGCCTTTCACTTCCCTCTGCCTGTGATGCCTTCATGAGCAGCTCCCTGCCTCTGGCAGGCACACTGCAAACCCCTCACCATTGGCACAGATGTTCCCTCCTCCATGAAGCCACCAAGACTCTCCCAAACAAAATCAATGCTTCCATCTGGTCTGCTGCCTAAGCCCTTAGCATTTCTCTACTGAATTATTATTGCTTTTGTCTTTAACATTGTCAATGTATCACTTGTTTAAGTAGACTTTTACAAGATTGCCAAATCCTTGAAGGTAGAAATAGAGTTGCATACACAATTTGACACTGTTGTTAATATAGGTATGACCCAATATATTGCCACAAACTGTTCAGCATTTTTGAATGTGTTGTAATCTTCTCTTTTCATCAGGATTGTGAATTTCCTGTAGTTAAGTGCTTCTCTTCCTCCCTACCCACAGTTCTCCAACCATTACTAATGTGATGAGCTTCAATTATCCTAATATGTGTAAAATGATAGATTAGATCACCTAATGGGTCCTATATCTAGGTCTAACATTTGATAATTCATTTCTTTCATGTTTTTATTGTTCATTATAGTTGTACATAATGGTGGAATTTGTTGTTACATATCCATACATGTACACAATATAACAATATAATTTGGTCAATATCATTCCCCAGTATATGCCATTTTAACATTTGATAATTATAAAGAACAACAATAGGGATCCAAGATCTGCTTCATACAGATTTGACAGGGGCTGCTTATGCAATATTTATACATAACAATTGAATAGTTATTACCCTCTTTTTTCATTGGAAAGAAGAATACAAGCAGTGAAGACCCTTCTTCCTTCATGTTAATATTTACTGACAACTTGCCATATACTTACATGACTCAAGATGCAAGGAATTCTGTAGGGACAAAAATCACATTGCTTCCACTGTCGTGGCACTTACAATCAGGAGGGAAGAGAGACAATAAGCATGGTCAGGAAGAGACAATGCTTAGATCCAACTACTATGCTCCCACAACTACTACTACCAACAACAGCAATAATAATACAGTATAGACCTGAGTAAGGAACTAAAGGGTAATGACAGGCAATGCTTTTCTGGGAATGACCATCAGGAAAGACTCTGCTAAGGGAAGCTAACAGACAGGAAGAGCTGTCTCCTAGGCAGTCATGACGGCCTTCATCATTGTCTTAGAAGGAAGACACTGCAGTGTCTTATCACACTGCAGTGTGGTAAGGACCCACTATTTTACCTAGGACAGGCACACCTAATTGCTTAACCCATCAGAGGGAAAACAGTTTAAGATGACGAGTGAAGAAACAGATGAATGGTTAAACAAATTGTAGTATACCCTCAAAACAGAATATTATATAATCACCAAAAATGGTATTTTAGAGAATTTTTTGTTTGTTTTTGAAGTACTGGAATGCTTCACACATGTCAGGCAAGTGCTCTACTACTGAGCTATATCTCTAACCCTTTTTATTTTGAGACAGAGTGTCACTAAATTCCCCTGGCTGTCCTCAAATTTACAATATTTCTGCCTCAGCCTCCTGAGTGACTGGGGATTATAGGTATGCACTATGACATCCAGCTGAAGAAAAATTTTTAACCTGAAAAGATGCTAGGTGAATAAAATATTGAGTGATAAACTATACATATGTATGTTCTCATCCAAATTAAAAATCTAATTATATATTTGTGGGTATAGCAAGTATACTAGAAGGGCCGGGCACAGTGGCTCATGCCTGTAATGCAAGCAGCTTGGGAGGCTGAGACAGAAGAATCATGAGTTCAAAGCCAGCCTCAGCAACGTGAGGCGCTAAGCAACTCAGTGAACCATGTCTCTAAATAAAATACAAAATAGGGCTGGAGATGGGGCTCAATGGTTTAGTGCCTCTGAGTTTAACCCCCAGTACTTACCACCCCACCCCCCACCACCCACAGGAAAAAGAAAATATACTAGAAGGAATATCACAAAATATTTTTTAATTTTTCCCAGTTTTATTGAGGTACCATTGATATAAAGAAAACTGACTTGATGATACAAAGTAAACTGAAGTAATGTCTATAGCTTCATAAGTTTATATATATATATATATATATATATATATATATATCCTCATGTTACCCTCACCCCAATTAAAGTCATAAATATATCCATCACTTTCAAAAGTTTCCAGTGTTTCTCTGTATTTTGGAAATTTGGGGATTTTGCTTGGTGTGTGTGTGTGTGTGTGTGTGTGTGTGTGTGTGTGTGTATGTTTAAGTTCACCTATCATGACATCTACCCTCTTAACAAATATTTGACTGCCATAACTTATTGGTAAGTAGAGCCATGATGTTATACAGCAGATCTCCGGAATTAATACCTCTTGTATAATTATAACTTTATACATTATAATCAAAGCTCTGCATATCTCTTTCCTCCTATCTGCTGGTAGCTATCACCCTCTATAAGTGTGACTCTTTTAGATGCCTCAATAAGAGAGAAATCATGCGGTATTTGTCATGCTGTGACTCACTTCTTTCACTTAGAATAATGTCTTCTTGGTTCACTCAGGTTGTCACAAAAGTCAACTTCCTTCTTCTTACAGCAGAATAATTTTCCATCATATGTATATGCCACATTGTCCTTATTCACCCATCTTTTGGTGGACATTTGGGTGTTTCCATATCTTGGCTATTGTGAGTGATGTTTCAGGGAACAAATATCTCTGAGACATATTGCAAATATGTCTTAGAGATTCTGATTTCAATTCTTTTGGATTTATATTCAAAAATGGATGACTGCATTAAATGGTAATTCCATTTTTAAATTGGGAAAAAAACTCTATACTGTTTTTTATCACAGTTATCCCATTTCACCACCAAGTGTATTGCATGAGTGTTCCAAAGCCTTCACAATCTTGCCAACACTTATCATCTCTTGTTTTTTGATAGTAGTTACTCTAATAAGTTTGCAGTCAAGACCCCTATGAGATTTGCATTTCCCTGATGATTAGTGATGTTGAACGCTTTTTCATGCAACCATTGGGATTTGTATGCTTCTTTGGCAAACATCACAAACCTGTAATAGTGGTAGTTTTCTCTAGTTGGTAGAAGCACAGGTAAACTTTATTTTCCTCCTTGTACTTTAAAAGGTATTTCAACAGTTTCTACCTTGATTATGTCTCACTTATACTTTTTTATTTGCAGGGGTGGTTTACCAGGATTGAACTCAGGGGCACTTGACCATTAAGCCACATCCCCAATCCTATTTTGTATTTAGAGACAGAGTTTCACTGAGTTGCTTAGGGCCTCGCTAAGTTGCTGAGGCTGGCTTTACACTCATGATCCTCCTGCCTCAACCTCCTGAGCTGCTGGGATTACAGGTATGTGGCACCACACCTAGCCTATACTTTTATTGAGTTTTGTTACTCAATAAGGTGACTTTTTAAGGTTTATTTTTTAGTTATAGGTGGACATGATATCTTTATTTTATTTTTATGTGGTGCTAAGGATTGAACCCAGTGCCCCACGAATCCCAGCCCCCTAGCCTATACAATTTATTACTTTTTATTTTCCTCTACAAAATTTTATGTGTTCATTAAACATATTCAAAAAGTAGAGAATTGCAAAAGATAAACGTGAAGATCTCTCCTGTCGTTATTCTCTGGTTTCTCCATGCAGAGTTTTCATGATGATAATATCTTTCAACAGGTTTTTCTATACTCTGAGATAATTTTTTAAGCCTGTAGAAACACATATATTAGCTTTTTTTTCCCTCACAATTAAAAATCACAATGTATATACCATTATGTAATCTGTTCTTTTCTTAATTAAAAAAAGCCATAAATACTTTCTTGTTTCAGATTTCAGAATGTAGATGCATCATTCCTTTTTTTTTTTTTTTTAACCACTGGGCAGAATTTTTTTTGTTTATTTTCTCTAATTTATCTAAAAATATTTTTTTCCAA